GACCAGTTCAAAATTTTATTGAGCAGCCCACGTCTCCAGAGCTGGGTGGCACTGGCCTCTCACACATCGAGGAAGGCATCGATACTGGTGGCAATGTCCTCCTCAGCAGCAGGGGGCAGGGACATGTAACACTGCAACAGGTAGCCCTCCAGCTGGTGGCGGAGAATGCATGGCTGTCCAGGCTTGTCCCCCATACTGTCATAGCTCAGGGTTCCAAACCAGGAACACAGGCGTGCCCAGCACACCTGCAGGATCAGCAGGAGCAGAGCAGTGGTTCAGGCACCCCTCCACCTGCACAAACAGATCATCACACACTGCCCGGGGAACATGCTGCAGGGGCACACTCGGGGTGCAATAGTGGCACAGCAAGGGGCTGGCCATAGCACCTCCCTGGAGAGGCCCCCTGCAGCACGGGCAGGGGCACAAGCAGCCTTTTGCCTCACTTGTTTGGGAGCCCCACACCTGGGCGTTGTAGGCTGGGCGGCAGCATGCTGGCAGCAGAGTGGCTGGCCTGCAGGGAGTGGGGGCAGGGCAGCAGAGTCTGTTGATGCAGCAACTGAGAAGAGGGCAGGGGAAGCAGGCTGCCTGTGGGCTGCACACAACAGGCTGCCTGCCCCAAGAGGTTGAGCGAGGATGGGTGGCTTGGCCAATGGCTGCCTGGGCATGGCCCTACCTGCCTGAACCGCTTACCATGTTCTCTGGGCACCTGCGCACTGCCGACCTCTGATCTGAGGCTAGGCAGTGTAGGGCCCCTGCTGCAGAGCATCTTATCTCGGCAATGTTGCGATCTTGTACAAAAAGCTTCTGTGTCTTGCCTCTGCAGGGCTACATCTGGATGTGGAGGAGAGGCTGCAGGGCCCTGTGGGAATGCTGCTTCAGGGTTCCTGCCACCCGCTGCTGAAGCCGCCTGGGTGTGCTGGCTGTGCCTGTGGGCGCACCAGAGACTGGACCCTCCTGCTCCATGAATGGTCAGTTGTGGCTGCTATAATTGGTGCTCCTGCACTGCGCCCATAACATTTCCTCTGAGCTCATGCAGCTTTCCATCATTCCCTGTGCAGCCCACCCGAGGGGGAGAGCTTGAGGGGGCAGGTGCTTTCAAGGCCCAGGATTTTATTATTGTGACCGGAGAAAGTTTCAACTATGAAACTATGAAAGACACATCAGGCAATCCAAGACTGGCTGGTGGGATGGCCCAGAGTTTTGCTAAGGTGGGGAGCGCTAATGGCATGGGTCCTCTGACCGCATCAAGCTAAGAAGGGGTCAGCAAACAACTTCCCCCCCACCTTCCACAAGCTAGAAAACCACCCCCCCATCCAAAGTCCCCTCTTAAAAAGAGAGAGCATGAAGTGAAAAATCCAGCAAAGCAAGTAGAAACCTTTATTTACCACCAACAAAAATTTAAAAAGGAAACAAGCCACAGAGCAACTCTTTTAAGATAGTGATTCATAATCAGTATGAATTACTATGAATTACCTTAACGGCGCATGAATAGTTAAAAATCACAATGAAAATAACAGTGTCATTACTATAACAATTACTATAATGGCCCACTTACTATAACAGCACATGAATCATGAAAAAAAAAATCAGTGATCAATTGTAACCAAAAGAACCTGGCTGTGACAAGGCACAGCTTGTGCCTGTCACTCAGAAGGCTGCGGGCAGCCGGCATGGCAGCCTACAGGTGACTTTACTCCCAGTTAAGAGTCACATGGCCAGTAGGAGGCTGCCTGATATCGGAAAGGGGTACAGCTGTTTGTGATAAGAACAGGCCCTGAGCAGTGGAGCCAGCAGTTTGCTGCAAGTAGCCAAGGGAAGAACATTACCCAGTTGGAGCTGCTGCTCATATAACATCTTGGAGGTAGAGGACAGGAACTATGGGGATGGCAGAAGGTTTCTGGCCATGGGGCATGACCTAAAACTACACCCTGCTGGGACTGGATGGTGTGGTGGGGCTGCCGGTGGCAGGGCTGTCCTCAGGAAATGCCACACCGGGGCCTCCCCAGTGAAGGGTGAATATGGGGCACCAGAAAGCCTCAGGCCCCGCTGCCTTGTGGTTACCCCATGGCGGGGAAAGGCTAGAGGAGCACACCCTGAGAAAAAAGTGAAGGGCCCAGGTTTACTGTGTGGAGCCTGAGGCGGGGTCCAGGTCATGCGAATGGGCCTGAGATGGGCCCAGGTCCACAGCAGGGCCTAAGGCTTATGAAAGAGCTGGGTGTAAGGCTCCAAGGGCAGAGGTATCGAGGTCCAGTGTTGGGCATGAGATGAGATCCCAGTGTTGGGCAGGAGGGGACCAAGAGGGTCCAGAGCCAGGCAGGGAGCCTGAGAGAACGGGAGGGGTTGGGAGCTCCAAGTGGGTGTGAATCGAGACCCCAGTGTGGGTGCTGCAAATTGAGAGCCCAGTGTGAGGGCACAGGGATTGTGACCCCCAGTGTGAGGGCATAGGATTGAGAGTCCCAACATGAGGACACTGGAATGAGAGTCTCAGTGTGGGGGCATGAGGTCATAGGCCGGGTGACAGGCCACGTAAGTTTAGGCCAGGTGATAGGCCATGGATGCCAGCTGTGAGGCATGGGACACAGGAAAGGTTCGGAGCTGTGTATAGGCCCTTGGCATCAAGGCAATTAAATGGGCAGCCTCCCACCTGGGAACATCATAATGATCCATCAAAGGCATGGCAGGTAAGGCAAGTGGGCGGTTAGCCCTAGGAAAGTGGGCGGGTCAACAATTAGACTGGTCCTGGGAGTCCCACTTGTTACACTGGCCCTCAGGTAGACTTTCATTCAGAGCTTGACAAAGAACTGTTGGATCTCAGAGCACGGAGCCATGCCCACTGTTGCTGCCCCCGCAGGGACAGGTTCATGGACAGGTGCAGGATTGGGCACAGAATCATTAACAGTACGCGTGTCAGTATGTGCCAGTCCTGCCGTGTCTTGGAATGCCTCCTGGATGCAGCGCAGGTCCTTTTGTGGTGGACAGCCATGAATCTTCCCATAGCATCATGGACCTGTGTGACCAGCTTGTCTGGCCACTGCTTGCATTCCCTGAAGGCAATCACCAGCCTGTTTTTCGTGCATTTGGCTGCATCCTGCTGTGGTAGCCTGCATGTCCTTGGTGGCGGTATTGGAATCAAAACTGAAAATCAAGAAATGTGGGAAATAGAGTAAATTAAGGATGCTTGATGCTCGAAAAAGGCACACTCGGTGAAACTTGCAAGCAGAAAAGAAGTGGTTGGCCAAAATGATGGGGAAGGGTTGCTTGGCCACAGGGGGTTGCAGGCCCTGAGTGGCTGTAAACAAGTGAGATCTCGCTTCAAATAAGTGGCTGAAAGCAAGTCCCTCTCCCCCCACTTCACTTCGGAGCCCAGCCTAATCGCAGCTGTCAGTTCAGGTGATTATACGGTTCCCCAGAGCTTCACATACCAGGTGTGGATGTCAAGCTTCTTGGTCTATCCTCCTCAGAACTGGCAGGTGATATGACTGGGACATTTCTGCTGTTTTCTTCACTGCAGTCCCTGGAGTTCCCACAAGTCGCAGCCATGGTTGGTGAAGTGTCTGCAGGCAAGGATGCCCCAGAGGCCTCTGTCCCTCATTGTTCATGCCAATCCAGTACCTTCATTAGTGGCTGGAGGTACTTGTAGAGTATTACGTCATGCAGTGGGGTGCCCTGCCACTGTGCTCTGGTGACATCCCTGTGGAAGGCAGCCTGCAGGATTTGCACTCAATGCTTTGGTCTGGCATTGTAGTGTGGTCCTGCTGTGCTCCTGCTCTGCCATTCTCCTTGAAACCTCAAGGTAGATGTGCCAGTTGGCCTGCGAGCTGCAGACAAACTGGTGTACAACCTTAGGGTCCCCCAGCACCCACACTAGGCTCTTTGTTTTAGCAAAGGTCCAATTGGACCTAGACCTATGTGCCCCAGTCCACTCCATTCTGCTCTGAATGTCAGACAGATCAATAAGGGGTACCCCAGGGAGCTGTGCGATCAATTTATAGGTCTTGAGGTGACCTGGCCAAAGAAAGTTCACTCCCCTTTGCCCCAGTATTGTCTGTGCAAAGTTTGGACAGCAGACATGCCCCACAAGTGTTGCAACTTTTGACACTGATCCCAGCAGGACATGATGTGAGATGCTGAGCAATTGAGAAATAGCTCACCCGCTGTTCATAAAGCGGCCACATTTTGGACTTGTGATCGGGTGCATAGAACCCTGCTTATTGGTTTCACATAAAAGCAGTGAGCAAATTAATGGCATTATGGGGGTCAGTGAAGCTGCAGCCAGCTGAAAAGGTAGCCAAGGGCAGTTTGCTCCCTCCCCCCACCCAACCCTGTAGCATCTCCCAGTGACATGCTCTGCCAGTGTTGCAACTTTTGGTGGCAGCCACAGGAGTTCACCTGGGACATTCTGGGCCAGGTTGAGTCAAGCCAGGGAGGGGGCCTCTGGCTGCACCTGTAGCAACTCTGTGTATCTTATGGGCATGCTCATTCTGGATGCCATGGAACAGTACCAGACTGCTCATTCCCAGGTTCACAGAAATCTGCTTGTCAGGTTTATGTAAAAGCGACGAGTGAATTAATGGTGTTATAGGGGACAATCATGCCACAGCCAGCTGAAAAGGAATGCTTTAGAGGTGCAGAGTGGAGGGCCACAGAGGTGCTGCTCCCAGTCGGACTTGTTTCTTGTAATGACCCCTCCTTTTGCTGGAGCAGAACATGCCCAACAGGGCCAAAGATAATCTCCCCTGTTGTTGCAAAGACTGACAGCAACTTTGGAAATGCATTAACCTCCTATTAGGTGTTAAATGCTCAGAGCAGAAGCCTTCAATAGCATGCTTCACTGTGCAGTATTTATATAATAACGCTGAGGGGGTCAAGGTACACCACGCACCACATTATCCCTGATAATGGAGAAGGGAACACATACACAGCAGACACGGACTGATCTTCAAAAGAGACTGGGATCACCCCAGTCTTCACCTTAGGATACCCACCACTCCAAGTGAAATAGGAGATGATAAACAAAAAAAGGTTTCTTTGAATTATTTATTTAATAAAGGAAGAAAAAGGTCAGCAGAAGATTGATTCATGTCAGGCTCTGCAGCTACACCTGGTGTCCTAAAATGTTCATTACACATAAATACCTGCAAATTGTAGCGACACCTGGTGGACAAAGGGGCTCAGGACACATAATTCAGTGAATTAGCATGTATGTGTGACAGATTTATGGCTGCATCACTGCAAGTTGCATCACTGCAAACTAAACTACATTAGGATGTGGTTTAGTTTTTAACAATGAGAACAAATTTTAAACCCCAAAAACTGATATACGTGTCCAGTGTGATGCGACTAAGCCACACAAAGGGAAACTTCCGTCACGTGTACATTGTCTCAGTGTCATGTGTACAAGTACCCACAGATACCAAGAGACAGCAGAGAAATCCTGTGGGGTGAGTGAACCTAAAAAGTAAGTCATAATGCTCGGCATCATCAAAGGCACTTTCTTCATTTTGCATTCTTTTGAAAAGGGTTTTTGCCTGCCAGCGAGATGACAAAAACTACATTTCATCTACAGGTAATCTTTAAACTGTCATAAAGGCACTTAAACAGAAGCATGTTAAAGGGCGCTATCCAGTTTTAAGCACTTGCTAAATGTTTTAAAGATAAGCCAGTTGAAGCAAGGGTTATCTTTGGTCTGTCTTCCCCAGGTTGTTCCATCAACGTATCGATAGTCTGATCCAGGGAGGTAAAACGCTTAATTTGCAGTCCTCCAGCATCCCAGGATGCAGAGCTCCCAGCCCCTCTATCCATTCCCACCCTTCACACCTCTACTGTTCACCCCACTTTCATAATGGGAGCAGCTACTCTAAGTAGCTTAAGTATAGCAAAACCACAGAGCGGGGAAAGCATGGCTCCCCGGTTCCATGGCTCTCTGCTTAGTGTGGGGCTACCAGGGCTTCAGTGCAGGAGACCTTGCAGTGGGGGGAGGCATGCTTCCCCTGGTTCAGTGGTCTCACCATGTGATTAACTGCCAGCTGCTCCACCCTCAGTGTACAGCCACTGCCATAATTGCAAGGAGACCTGAGAGCCCAGGAAAAAACACCTCCCTGGGGTCCCTGGTCTCATTACTACATAGCAGCTCTGCACTGAGAGTGGAGCTGCTGGGGAAAGAAAACTGGAAGACCAGTTAGGGTCTTCAAGACCTGGGAACCCATGGAAGAATGCTTCCCCGAGCTCCTGGATCTTGCTGCATAGCGGCTCCACATTTAACCCTGGCAGCTCTGCTCTCAGCATGCAGCCACCATACAGCAAGACCAAGGAGCCTGGGAAGGAAGAATTCTTCCCGGGCACTTGGGTCTCACTAAATTTAATGCAGTGGCTCCATGCTGAGAACAGAGCTGCCAGGAATCAACTCCTGTGGCTCTGCTTTCAGCACAGAGCTGCTGGGTTAATTTATGTAATCCACTGATTCTCAAACAGGGTGTCATGGCACCTTTGGGTGCCTTGAGATCATTTTAAGGGTGCTATACAATGTCAGAACTGTTAATTTTACAAAATACAAGTCATAAGATAAACCTCTTTCAAATAAGAATTCATAGTGTTGAAAGCACTCTGCCCTGCTGGGATCTTTCTGAGTTCTCTGCAACAGAATTTCTTTATTATTTTTCTGTAGTCTAAAAAATAAGTGAAGACTAGGAGTTGGCATTTACCATGGGGTGTCTTGATTCTATCAAGGTGTGCCTTGAGTCTGTTGAGGACTGCCTCAAGTAGCAGCTTGTCAAGGCAATTTAAATGCATCCAGTTCACTAGAACTAGAGGGGAAGAGACAAACAGCTGTAAGGAAAATGTGGTTGGGTATTGCCTGGACCAGGGGTGGGCAATTATTTCAGCTGGAGGGCCACTCCACGAATTTTGTGAGCTGTTGAGAGCCACATGGGTAGCCGCCCCCGCTTGACAATTGCCCCGCCCCCTGATCTCCATCTTGTGGCCAGAAGTCCCACCCCCTAACCCCTGCCCTTTGCCACTGGAGGTCCCTCCCTTTGCCCCCAGAAGTACTTTTGGGCTGAGATAGTATGGCCTTGGAACTGGAAGTTACATTCTGTCACATGGCCTATGTCAGGGGTAGGCAATGTTTTTCAGCCAGAGTGCTGAAAAAACCACACTGTCTACCGTGTAAGGTGCCGGAGTGCTGGCAAGCAACAACAACAAAAAAAACTGGGGGGGCGGTATATGGCAGGATGCACTGTATATTAATATAGTTAATAATAATAAACATCTCTTTTTTATGGTAAATACCAGGTTTTCTAAAAATTCTAAACCTGGTGACAATAAATAAAACTTCATAGAGGGAGAAGAGAGAAGGAAGAGGGAGAGAAGAGAAAGGGAAGAGAGAGAAGAAAGAAGAGAGAAGGAAGAGGAAAAGAAAAGAGAAGGAAGAGAGAGGGAAGAGAAAGAGGGAAGAGAGAGGGAAGGAAGGAGGGAGAGGGAAAGAGAGAGAGGGAGGAGAGACACGGGTAGAAGCAGGTGCAGCGGGAGGCACAGTGGGTAGGCTGGCCTGTCCAAGCCCTTGAGAAGGTGTCAGCCGGAGGAGACTGGGGGGCCAAGAGGGGAGTGGAGGCTGCCCCAGAGCTTCACAGATTCGGGCCACAGCTGGGCCCCCAGCAGCACCCAAGGTGGAGCCCAGCCTGGCCCACACAGCTCCGTGGGATACGGCGCAGCTGCCCTGCCCGCAAGAGGATGCTGCCTGGCAGGACGCTGGGTTTGGGGGGGGCTCCCAGCTTGGCTTCTATGCATGCTGGACACAGTGCAAGTGAAGCAGAGTCCCCCAGGGCACAGCAGGAGCCCCCAGGGCTCTGGGAACAGCTGTGCAAAGCTGCGCATTTACCTCCACCAGCCTGGCCCATCCGGTCCCAAGTGTACATGGCTCAGCCACCACTTCTCACCGGTGCCGACTCAGCTGGGCCCATTGCATTCTGAGCAGCATGCAGGGAACCAGCACCTGGGTCTGATTTGCTGCGTGCTGCTTGGGATGGGACGGGCCTGGCAGGGCCGGCACTGGCAAGGAGAAGTGGTGGCTGAGCCAGCTGAGCTGTGTGCTGCTTCCTTGCATGCTGCTCAGCACAGCAGCCAAGTGGCACAGGAAAGTGGCACGTGTCTCAGCTGGCTCAGCCACTATTTCTCCTCGCTGACCCAGCTGGGCTCATCCTGTCCTGTCCTGAGTGGCATGCAGCAAAGCCGGCCCAGCTGCTGCTTCCCTGCATGCCGCTTGGGATGACAGGCTTGGCTGAGTCGGCACCAGTGAGGAAAAGCAGTAGCCGAACTATGTGCCCCTTGGGACCGGCCGGGACACGCCGGCAGAGGTAAATGGAAGCCATGGCTTTGCTGTATGCCTCTCAGGCCAGGCTAGGCTGGCACCAGGAAGGGAAACCCATGGCTGAGCTGGTCCCAAGCGGCACATGGCTCAGCCGCTGCTTCTCTTTGCTGGTGCCAACTCAGCCAGACCTGTCATGTCTCGAGTGGCACACAGCAAAGCTGGCCCAGCCACTGCTCCCCCATGTGCTGCTCAGGATGGGCTGGGCACCAGCGAGGAGAAGTGGTGGTTGAGCTGAGTGCTGCTTGGGACCAGCCGGCACAGGCCAGCAGAGGTAAGGGAAGGCATGGTTGAGCTGTGTGCCGCTCTGGCCGGGCCAGGCTGGTCCTGACCAGCAGCCAGCTCAGCCTCCTCTTTTTGCTGGTGCTGACGCAGCCGGGCCTGTCCCATCCCATCCCGAACGGCATGCAGCAAAGCCAGCTCAGCCGTGGCTTCACCATGTGCCGCTCAGGACAGGACGGGCCTGGCTGGGTCAGCACCAATGAGGAGAAGCAGCTGAGTGGCATGTGCTCCTGCCACTCCCCATAGTCCCTG